CTGCTCATCGGTATGGAACAGAAGGAGATGGGTAACATGAGAAATAAGAACAAGGGAGAGGAAGAAAAAGAGAAATAAGATGAAACTTGGCAAGTCATTCTCTAGATATGACTCCTTACCTGGATGCTCCATGTGCACAGTGCAGTGCTGCCAGATGTACACTCACATCTAACAGGCACACCCAGCATCCTCAGTGAAAGGATTCATCTTGCATTGTTTAGGAATAAGACCTGTTTTCAGCAAGCATCCAAAAAACCCACCCCCAAGGTGCGTGACACACACGGCACCGCCCTGCTCCAACCACCAACCAACACCACCTTGCTGAAGAGCACATGGCAGGAGCTGGCAATAACGTCAGACATTCCAAACTGATCTGCCAGAGGGCTGAGCAATGGGCATACTGCTCCGGAAGACTACTGGTGGTTTTGCAATGCGTGAAGCAGATACACTGCTCCATTCCAGTCCTGGGACAGGGGCTTCTTGGCTGGGCTTCAATTCACAACCCCGAGTGGAGCCAGCTGGGGCTGTCACCATTGGAAACTGCCCATCTCCTGCATCCCACACTCACCAGGCACGCAGCACACACCACCAGCACTGAGCCTACCCCAGCAGCACACAGGTGCCCTCCCCAGCACAGAGGGGCTGCAGATGGGGCTGGCATGCAGCAAGACACCCAGCACACTTGGGCACGTGCCCACACGGCGCTCGGCAGCGGCCTGGCATCTCTTCCCAACCCTTCCTAAGCCAAACCCAGACCATCTGTTGAAGTATTTCTGCAGATCGTTCCTCTCTTGGGAAGGGCCGGGGGCCGAGTTTAGTTATTTATACAGCGTCTGGCATTTCTGCAGCACTCCTCACTTCTGTGTCCAAGCAATCTCCTCTGGCAGTTTTGGAGAATCAGAGCGGGGTATCACTGAATCTTCATTTTAAGATTTCTGAAAAAAACTGTAATCAAAAAGACAACAGCTGCCCACGCCACGCACACATTTAGCTGCTAAGAAAGCAAGTGGGACACAGTTCAGGGAAAGAGGGTCAGGCCAACACAGTGTGTTTTATGTCCTTTAGAAGAATTACCACCCTTGCAAGATAGCCTTCATAAACAACAGCTGTTCCCCAGGGATGAGATGAACCAACAAGTGTTCCTGTTGCCTCACAGCACGGAGAAGAGCTCAGCTTACCCAGAACGTGGACAAGGAAGCTGTCCCCATTCTTAGGAAGAATGGCAACAAACGCAACAGGAAAACAAAGCACCCAGAAGAGACCATTTATTATGTCACACTGTACCTTCTGCAACAGCTACTACTGCAAAAGTACATGAGTGACAGGATTGTGGAAGTGCTGCTTCCTGGTAGATTGCAGGGTACAGGGTCAGAGACGAACATTGTTCTACTTATCCACGGTCACGCTCTAAGCCTGAATCCGTGGCAAAGGAAAAAACAGAACCCAAACTCACAGTTAGCACTGAAATATCTGAAAACACACTTCCCTCTTTGTTCTGCATAAATCCCTAGCTGCCGTAATTCAAAAAGATCACTGAATGTGGCACCAAACCAATTCCCAGTTTGCACATGGCCTAGGACAAGTTGTTTCCACTCCACCCTACCTACCAGCCAGCAGGGAGCTGCCCCATCTCCTCTGCCAAAGTGTGCAAGCAGCACATCCACTGGTATGAATAAGGAGCCAGGCAATGCAGCGACAAGGACATTCTTCTCCTCCTGTCCTTTCTCACATGATTCCTCCAAGACAGAGCAGGAAACAAGGCAAAGCTGTAGGTTCATCCTACCTCGGGTGCTACAATTAAGTCTACCTGGCAAAAGAAGGAAAACAAAGATAGCAGCACAATGGCTTCACCAAAATGGCCTTGCCAAGGGGGTTGTGGCCAAGAGCATGGGCTGCAGACTTGTCTCATGTGTAGAATAAGAACAGGAGGGCTACGCAACCCAGTGATGAAATAAAGAGCACCCAGAAATGGAGCCCTGTGTAAACGATATGCATGTGGGAGATCTGCCCATACTACTTGCAGCACTCAGAACTCAGCCCTGAAGAAGCTGAGCACTTCATTTGAATATGGACATCAATCATACCCCTGCTTCCAGGGCTGAGCAGCTGCAGCACAGCCAAGAGAAGGGCTGCTGGTGACCCGGGCGTGCTGCCTCACTTCAGCACAGGCTTCTCAGAGCCCTCTGTGTCAGGATGGCTCTGCTAAAACACCATGCACAGCATCAGTGAAAGGAGGGAGCACAGCACAGGGAAGCTGACAAGGCACAGCCACCCACCTACAACAGCACTACTGAAATGAGAACAGGAACTGATTGTGAAAGGTTTAACAAAATAAACATAAAATTGCATGCCTGTGAGTGGCTCACCATGGGCTGCATTAAATCAAGGTCAACAAAGAGCTCACAAATTAAATAAACAGCATCCCATCACATTTCCTCTGACACCAAGAACAAGCATTCCTGCCCGGGTACCTTTCCCTTTCCCAAGTAAATAATCTCCGTGTGGGCAATAAATATGCCAAGCTTTTCTATTTGCAGATGTGTAAGAGGAAACTGCTAGACAGAAATCCAAACCATCCAGAGAGGCAGGGTCTTTTCAGGGGGCTTATTTGGATGTTTGCACCCCGTCATTTTACATTAAGAACCACAGGAACCACTCTGCAATCAGCACCTGCAGAGCAAGGGACAGAAGGAAGGGCTGTGCTGGAGGCACACACACAGGCACCTCCACAGCAACATTCAATGCTGCTGCACCCCTTACTACACAATCAGCCCTTCTTCGCCCCTCAGCCCAAATATTTCCCAAGGACACTCCCACCTTTCAGCAATTACAGCATATTCAGCAATTGCCCTCCAAGAGCATTACATTTCCAAGAGACAGCGGGGTGAAGGACAGTAAGGAGGTTTGCCAAACCAACATCCCCCAGCCCTGGCCCACCAGCAAAGCCACCTTCTGCCAGGGAAAACCCAGAGAGAAAGCTGCACTCCACCATCCCTTGGCACTTCTTACTGAGACACAGGAGCAGATAATCAGTCACTCCAGTGCATCAAGGGATAATAATCTGTTTTCCCAGCACTACGCAGTCATCGTGTGCTCTGATCAGGCTTTACCCCTCATGGAAAAGCTTTTCTTAAGGGATCTGTAAAATTGGTCCTCTTACCAATGATGCCAGGTCAGGTAGGTAGTTCCCCCATCTCATCCACTAACCTAAGCATGGCTGGAGAAGGAGAGCAAATGACCCTAGCAAGCTGCCAGTGACTCCTATCTCCACGTAACTCAATACTACACACTATCCCTTCTTAAAATGGCAGTGGGACAATCTTCTAGGGCCCTGGCATCTTACTAAGACACTAACAAGATTGCCAGGTGTCAAACAAGGCCGTGAACGCTCCCCTGCAGCAGGGCCATGCTCCAAGTTATGATCCAGGCATGCTCCATGTCCCAGCACAGCCATCCATCCGTGCCCTGAGCGTTGACCTCAGAACACAGCATGACTCCTGTGACCAACGTGCTGTAAACAAACAAGCCCAGGGGCACAGCACCAAAGAATCACAGAATCATTAAGGTTGGAAATGACTGCTATGATCATCTAGTCCAACAACCAGACCATCACCACCATGTCCACTGAGCCATGTCCCAACAGTCTCCTCATTTTCTGAACACCTCCAGGGATGGTGACTTCACCACCTCCTTGGGCAGCCTGTACCAGTGCATCACTGCTCTTTCAGAGATGTTTCCTAATAGCCAATCTGAACCTCACCTGGTGCAACTTGGGGCCATTCCCTCTCATCCCATCACTGTTACCTGAGAGAACAGGCTGACCCCCATCTCATTACAACCTCCTTTCAGGTCATGGCAGAGAGGATATGCTGCACCTGCATGAATGACGAGATGAAGAAGGAAGAAATTCAAAAGGGGCAAGCACTCCTTAAATTCTGGCATTTGTTTTCTGGTGAAGGGCTCAGAATAACTCTCTTTGGGCCTCCTCTGTACCTCCGCTGACAGCAGCCTGGAAAGCAAAACAGCCTGCAACTGAGAGCACAACCGCCAGCCAACCCCACACGATGCACTGTTATCAGCCCAGCACCACTCTGGTTTGATTGCCTTTTGCTTCCCACTGCCAAGAAGCACATCTAGGAGGCGAGCCTCAACAGCATGCAGCGGATCAGAATCACTGCAGCTTCCAACCCACAGTGTGACGGGTCAGGTCTTGGTGGCAGAGCCAGCCTAGAGGTGTCGGCAAGCAGCTCAGCCTGTGCCACAGTGCTGAGACTTCTGAGGAGTTCAAAGAGCGGTGGTGTCCTGCTCTGATGCTCGCTGGACTGACAGCGTGGCAGGGCGCAGGAACCACACACCGAGCTCCCTGCAGCACAGAGGCCTGGGGCACTGGAAAATCCAATTCCCACGAGCCCAGCATCCCTGCAGCGTGCAGAGGATGAGAGGATGCTCGGGGTCTTCCCTTCCCGGGGTGACCTTGAGGAAACCCCAGGAGCCATCCACACTTCCACGCTCCCATCCGCGATAATAACCTTGACCTACCTCCGAGAGCCGGCTTAGGAAAGAGCCCAGCGCCGCGCGGAGGCCGACCCGCCCGTCCCGGCCCGGCGACGGGACTCTCCGGCGCAGCGAACAGCCCGGGAGCAGCCCGAGAACGGCTCCCCACGGGACGGCGGCCGCCCCGCCGCGCTCCGGCTGCCGCACACGTGTCCCCGCGATGGGGAGGCGCGGGCGGGAAGAGCGCGGGGCGGATCGCCGCCGCCGCCCCCAGCGCCGCGGGGAGGCCGAGCCGGGCGGGGGGACCCGAGGCGACCCCCCAGAGTCGGGTCTCGCCCCACACGCGCTTCCGGCCCCACCTCGGGGCAGGGGGCAGCGGGCCGGGGCAGCGCGGGAGGCGAGCCGCGGCCCCGGGGCCGCCGTAGGAGAGCGGCGGGCGCCGTGCGGGGAGGAGGGCGGCGGCGGCGGCGGCTGCGGGGCTCGTCGGCCGGAGGGCTCGCACTTACCGGGCTGGCAGCGGCGGGCTCCCGCCGGGGCCCGAAGCCGGTGCGGAGCGGGGTGCGGAGCTCCTCTCCCGGCGGCGCGGCTCGGAGCGGCTCAGTTCTGCCCTCTCTGGCCGCGCTCAGTGCAGGAAGAGCGGCGCCGCCTCCCCGCCCGCCGCCGCTCGGCCGTCCCCGCCCGCCGCTGCCGCCGCGTCGCCACGACAACGGGGAGCGGGGCCTGCGCTGCGCTGCGCTGCTCGGCTCTGGACCCGGCGGTGCCCATAGGCTGAACCCACGCTCTGTAATACGAGCGGGATGTGCAAAGCCTCCTGGCAGTCCTTGCCCCGATAATGGGCGGCGGCGCCTCCACCTACCAGCCCTCCCATCAGCCAGCTCCCTGCCGAGCTCCCTTACGGCACGGGTAAAATTACGGAACGAACAAAGGTGGTCAGCAAAACTGCTGTTATCCTCAAAATAAAGACAAAGCTGGTTGTCGTGAGGCGGGCCCTGACCGCAGCTGCCCGGCTTTACCATCTCCAGGCCACAGCAGCAGCTCCCCAAGCACCAGCTCTGACAGAACGACGGCACTTTCTGTCGGTTTTGCCCAATTTTGTACTGGAACAGATGGATTCTGTTTTTCTCACTTCTGGTGCAGATTGAGAACAACACCTCTGATGAGCACGGAGGAGGAGGAAAGGGCTGCGGCACCGTCACGCAGGCACACACGTGCAGTGGGGTGGGGAGCCCATACCTTGATCAGACCTCCTGGTTGGGTCTGCAACTGGCCAGCTGAAAACAGGGAGCCTGGGAAGGACAGGCAAAGGGAACTGCTTTTTAAAACAGTATAAAGGGTAGCAAAACGGAGGAAGGACACAGTGGGCTTTTAGTGTGGTGTCTGATAGCAATATCTCTGTGCTAGACTGCTCTGTGCTATTCCAAGGATTTCAGAGAATGCTCTGATTTATATCAAGGACTCAGAAGCGAGAATCAGGCTCTGGGTTCCCTCAGAATCAATTCCAGCCTCACACACATGCAACCAGGGATGCAGACCAGCCGGTATGCAAGGAGCAAGGAGACTTGCATGCTTCAGGGTCAGGCTGGTGTGATAGCAGTGGGTCCACGGTCTTCAGGGGATGGATAAATACTAGATGGGGCCCGCAGACCTGACTCCTTTTACCAAAAAGATCCACTGAGACCATTTCAGCAAGCTTTGGAAAATAACAGACATGAGGAGGACATGAGGCAGCAGCCAGTCAGATCTGTGCAGCTCTTGGGATAATGGTCATTGACATCACATTCCTGAGGAAAGGACAATAGAGCACAAGGCTAACAAGCACAAGGCTAACAAGCACACTGTGTACACAGAAATGGCAATGAAATGGAGTTGTGATAAAATGCCCAGACATGTCTGAGGTGTGCATGTGCCTGAAAATGAGAGGAGCTCGTTATCACAGTCAGACCTGTTACCCAAAGTGAGAAGAAGATGCCAAGCAGAGGTCAGTAAAATATCAGATGCTATGCTAATGAGATGGATGTAGATGAAAAGGGGAGAAGCTTGCACTCTTTTCAGCCTGGAAATTCATCAAAATACATGGAGGTGAAGCTCTTCACAGAAAGCTGGATCCTGATCATTCAGCAGCTATCTGGAAGGAGGCTGTACGCACTGTGGGATTTTTTTGGCTGAGCATCATGCCAAGACCAATTTCCCCTTGTGCGGACATGCTGGGACAAGTGGACACAGCCCCTCACCTACTCACAATGAGACTAGAGGGAGCCCATCACCTGATGGAGGGATGTGGACTGTTTCCTTCTGGAAGCAAGGCCAGCCACTGCAGATAAAGCTTTTCTGCCTTCCTGGAAAAGCCGGGCACAACCCTCCTTGTTGTTCTCTCCTTTCCCCTCTTGCCTCTTCCCGGGTCTCCACAAAGCTTTCATTTTCAGGAAGCAGAGGTCCTACCAGTGTTCCCCATGAGGGGCTGCAGAGCCAGGCAGAGAAGATCCAGTCATCTGGTGCTGTAGGACCTTCTTTGGGTCCCCTCTCCACCAGATTTGCAAAGGCATGAGTGGGTTTCACTTGGTTGTACACAATGAAACAAAAGCTGAGCTCAGCTCACTGTGGTTAGAGGGGAACAATTATGCTTTTTATCATACCTTGCCATTCCCTAAATGGTCTGGATGGACAGCATTGTCCCCTGGCAAGGAAGAGGTTAACGCTGCCCTGCTTTAATCTGAGTTTCAATAGGACTGCAGAATCACCCGCTTTTATTTTTGGTTCTGCTGCATAACAACTGCCCTTTGTAACCTGCACAGAGCAAAAGACCTGTTTCCTCTGGCAGCCTTTAAGAGAGGGGATTAAAAAAAAGCAGAGGAACAGAATTCGCATTCAGCAAGTGCCAGGTTGTCAAGGTTTCCTGTGCTCTCAGACATAATTTTTTTCTCCTGACAAAATACATTTAATACTGTCGTGTCCAGAGAGGAGCTTCAAAAGCAGCAACAACCTGCGAGGTTTGATCTGACGGTGTGTCCAGGCAGGACCCCAGCCGTGGCTCACAGCCCTACCTTTCTGTGCATGGCAGGGAGCAGAGCTCAGACCCTCCTATACAGAGATACTGCTGCACAATGTGATTCCACCACCCAGAGAGGGGCAGCGAGAGTTCTGTGTTTCTCTGCTCCATCCCTTTCCCCATGCAGAACTGAAATCTCAAAATCCCACATCTCTTGCCAGAGGAAAAAGTGGGGAAAACATCAGCCTGGCTGACAAAGAGGATATGAGCTGTTTTTACACTGCCAAGGAAGTGCATCGAATTCAGTCTGCTGACAGGAAGAAGCTTTCCAGAGGTTTCATTTTTCAGCTTCCTTCCCCATTTGCATTGCTTTCTATTTCAGTAAGTTATGGAGTGCTGGTACAGTTTCCAATGCATGATGAGTGGGGGTATTAAACCAAGGCTTAAAAAAGACAAATCTAATCAGCTCAGTCACTGATGCCTTCACCCAGTGGCCATACTGGACAAGGGAATGGTTCTGGTAAACAATTTAACTGACAAAGATTGAAGAGGAATTAACGTACCATTAACAAAAGTCAACATAATTTCAAAGAAAAATCAGTCTCAAGTAAGCCCAATCTTCATTGAGACTATAGGACTGATTGCCAAAGGTAAGGGCACAGAGGGGACATGGAGGCACATAGCATCCAACTGCTAAATGTACAGCAAGAAAGTTTTAACTGATTCAAAGACTCATTAATTGAGTCACAGATTCAAACCCATCCAAGACCACAGAACCGAGCAGGTAAGCCAACCTAGATGGTCTGTCTGCCCCCTCTGGCCATCAGTCCTGAGGGAGCTGTATTTTTAGCAGCTATTTGATTCAAATTCCTAATAAACAACAGGAGGAAAGCCCTTGATGCTTGAGTCACACTCAATGCTTGAAAGCCCTTGATGCTTGAGCAAACCCTCCTGCCACTTTTTTTTTCAGTGAAAACAGGAAAATCAGGGCTCAGCACTGTTGGTGTCTGAGTAAATAAATAAGTGCATGTTTCCATCACTGCTCACCAAAAAGGGTTACAAATGGAATATTCTCCCCTTTATTAAGTGACCTTCAGAGCCAGTAACATCTTGCAATCTGCCTATGCAATGGCCCAGGAAGAGCTACCCCAGACAAACACAGTACCTCTTTGTGCCTGGCACAGTCCCTGCTTGCCTGACACTACAGACCCCACTCCCACACTTTTCTCCATTGGGTTTCCTGCAGCAGTGGTGCCTCCACACCTCCGGCCCCGCTCAGCAGCCAGCTCTGACTCCTACACTCAGCACTGAGAGCACAAAGGAAAGCAGCCTTCTGCACTGCGTGCTTATCTCCCTCATAAAGAAGCAGGGCACTTTTGTTTATTGAGTGCCAATGAATGGCACAGTCTTGGCTGTGAGATCAGCCTCCAGGTCCTGCTCTGGGCACGGCTGCTGGCAGGGAGCTGGAGGCTGCATCCACTTATTGCCACGAGCTGATAAGATATTGGAACTGTCTTCAGCTCTTTCAGGGCAGTATTACTGAGGAACCCCGAGCTCTTACCTGAAAAAGCTGATGGTTCAACCTCTGCCTTCCAACCATTGTCCTTGTACAGCAGTTTTCACAAAATATTTTGTGTAAACAGCAGGATCTTACTTTTTTTTCTGCCTGGGCTGTAACAAAACGAGCTGTTGTAAGGGATTTTTTAGGGTGTTTTCTTGCTGCTCTCAGTGCAGCAGAATCTTCTTCAGCCCAACAGTAGTCATACTGAAACACATGAAGGGCATACTGGGCCCCAGAAGCAAGCAACCTGTGTGGGAAGTGGTGTTGGAAGGGAGCAGCTCCAAGCAGCAGCACCTGTTCAATCTCAGCTCTGTCCTCAGGGGAAGCCAGAAAGCACAAAGATTTCTTTTTTCTCCATTTTAGAGGGAAGAAAACCCAAAACATTTATCCTTCTTCTGGAAAGACATTGCTGTTTCCAAAGGGAATGTGAGACTGCAGAAGCTGTGCTGAAGAAGAAGCAAGAGGAAGATTCATACCTAAGCTCACATTCTCCTCCAGCTATTTTGTTACCCATTCCCTTGGCCAATTCTCCTGCCCTACTTCTCACTGTATTCTAAAGCTTCCCTTTATCAGCACAATAAAGCATAATGAGAGTCTGGGGTTACCCACAGCACTTGTATCCTCATCCCATGCCCATGCCCCAGTCTCGAAGTGCTGCTTTGGAGCTGAGTCTGTCCCATGAGTGGACCTGCAGCATCCTGGTACCTTTTTCTAACATCTGCTTTGCGGATTATGAAGTAAGAGAACTCAACAATTTCTCAGGCGTTTTATTGGAAATAGCTAAAAATACCAATGCTATTTCTGACCAATGCATGCACAGTCTCCCCACATCCACAGGGCAGCAGGAGCAGGACTTGCAACAATGCCTTGACTTTCTAGAGGAAGCAAATAGAGATGCCTTATCTGTTTCCTCTGCCTGCTTCAATTTTTCCACCTACTCCATTGTTGCCGTCTTACTCATCTCCTGCCTGAGAAAGGCAGCCCCAGTCTTTCAGTCCCTCCACGTGGGAATGCATTCAGCTCTATGTATTCGTTTGGCTTTTAACAGATCATTTTCCCACCAATTTATCCAATT